CAATAAGATCGCGCCTAAGCTGACCCATACATGCGCCTTGGATCATGAGAGGTTTGTCAAGCTAATCATATACAAGTATATTCTCACTATAACGGCCCAGTTCCAGTTCTGCCGAAGTCACGATTAGTTTCAAAAGATCTAAAATTCCTCCAATTAATTTTATACTCTTAGCCAACAACAGCAACACTGTGCCTTGATAAATTTATGATTACTTTAGCTATGAGCCTTCATAAGGGGGTACTCAAGAGCGACAGTAGAGATTTTCTAAATTAATAAAATATAGTTATTGACTGTTTTAAGCCACGAATCCAAGCTTCACAGTCTTTCGCAATACTTCCTGTTCAAAAACTAAATAATATCTTTCATAAAGTCTAATAAAAAATTAGCATACCTTCGATTTGATTTCGTGAAAAGTTTCAAATTTAACAGCTTGACTTCCAAGACTATTCAAGTCGAACGTTAATAGTGGTCCTTGAGTGATATTACGAACGAAATTACCGAAAGGATAGAAATTTGTAGACCTATCAAAGCAATGCCTTTTAACAGAGAGAGAGAGAGAGCGCGAACACAATGATGAAGCGCTGAAAACTGTAATATGTTTGAAAACAAAAAAAAAACTAAATTTCTTAGCTTAGGTATTGCCCATTGAAAGGTGGTTAGGACCCTTCAAGCTATATCGTTTTGAGTTTAGAAATTCTGAAATAGTCAGATATATCTTGATGAATTTTTGACTAAAGGAGCTCTGCGCGATATCGACTATTACTGGAGAGAAAAATGGTGTATAGTTTTATGTTTCTTCTAGACATCCAAAAACTAACGGTTTCTATTAAAAAGTTTTAATAAAAATGTATCACATACTAATACAATAGGTGAATAGGTGAGTTTTTTTTTTTAACTATTTACACAACAATGACATCACAAGATGACTGAAGACTGAAAGGAGACCGCCACAAGCGAACTTGAACCCTTAACACTTTATACGCCAGCAAATAAAACAAAAGCAAAAGTAACGAAGAAGACCGACACTGGCCAGTAAATAAATAAATATAAAAGTGCATTAAGTTAGTAAAAATAATAAAAAGAACATGTGCCAACACAATAAATGCAAGAAAAAATTTTCAACAAAAACAACAAATGTTAGCAACAACAATGAGCAACATATGTGTATGTGTGTGTTGTTGTTGTGTTGCCATTGCGGCATCATATTCTAATTAAGCGTGAAGCGCACCTGGAGGCGCTTTTGTGCCTGCACTACGCGCCCAACTGACTCACAACAACAACAGCAATAACAAAAGCAAAAACAATAGGCATATAAGCAACGCATGGCAATCAATGTACATCTGTGGCAGCGATCAAAGTATCAGCATGATCACACACGATCAATATATATATATATATAATGTTCTAATACACACAGCTGTATACTTATGTATATATGTATGTATATACACATATATCGCTGGCACATCGCTGCACATTTGCCCTGTCCAGCGGTTGGCTGCTTTGCTACCAGAGTTGATTTCTCTTGCCGCTGCACGCATCGCTGCCTGAATGCATGAACGCTTTAAGGGATGGAACGGGCGCGCAACGGCGGAGGGTTGCCTTCGTATCGATGTATGCCTTGGATGGATAGATTGGCATCGTCACCACGTTATCGACACATATAAAGTGTAACTAATTGTGGTTGTAAGTGAAGCAGAGTCCCTTCGACTCGGCTCCAGCGCAGACACATGGCAATAAAATGATGAAATGAATTACGAGCAAATGTGAAGTTATAGGATTTGACATTGAGCACACATACACAGCCGCACAAAGGTAGATATGTAGTACATACATGTATACACATATACATACATACATACATACACACATGTAAGGCATTTAGATGTGCCGCCATTAGATGCGATAACTTGAATACAAAAGTTGCCAATGTCATAGGTATGAGCTTAGCAGGGTTGCCAAATAAAGAAAAAACAAGAAGCAACGTTAACTTCGGCTGCACCGAAGCTATAATATCTTTTACATATGCATTTCTTATAACGTAAAAGGGTGTAAAAATATATGTTTCTTGATTTCGATCGTTGGTTTGTATGGCGGCTATATGCTATAGCAGTCCGATCTTAACAATACATTCGGTAATTGTAGCGTTGCCTTGGGCAATAATCTAAGCTAAATTTTATGAAAATATCTTGTCAAACAAAAAAGTTTTCCATACAAAAATTGGCTTTGGATCGGTCAGTTTATATGCTATAGTGAACCGATATCGGCGATTCCGACAATTGAGCAGCTTCTTTGAAATCACGAAAACTGTGGGACTTGTTCGCGGACAGACAGTGGGACATGGCTAAATCGGCTCAGCTCATCCCGCTGTATTCTTCTGTGTGCAACAGACTTAGCGGCAAACTTAACATACCCTGTTTAGGGTATAAGGATAAAAATCGTTTGATACATCTAGCCATAGTAATATTTAGATATAATTCTGTTTAGTGGCCATTTTGACGTGTGTCGTGGAGCCTTATAGCCAATCAGAGTTCATACTTTCATGTGTCAATGTGCCGCCAGATGCAAAATTAAAGAAAATATGTTCTTTGACACACCGCCACTAGCAAGGGCATTTTCTAAAGCGCACTGCGCAGGTGTGCCGGAAGCAATAAAATTGGTATTAGAAAAAATACAACTGCATTCATTAAATCAAAATGCCATGACCAACAGAAGCTATGAAGGACAAATAGTTAATTTGCAAAACAAATACAAAGCAACTGCATGTGGTGGGGTTATATAAATGCAATATAGACAACGAAAATGCAATAAACAAACGCAAGGACATGCAAAACTCTGCACTAAACGAACAATGAAAGCAGTTAAATGTCACACAATGGTGGACAAAAGATCAGCGGTGGCTACAAACCGCATAAAGTAACAACTTTGAGGCAAAAGAAACGAGCAAGCGACTTCCGAAATTCCAAAAAGTCACGTGGCATAATTTCACCAGTGCTTGTATCTTCTGCATGTCCTTGAAGATGACCGCCTACCATACCTCGTATGCCACCCGCTGCCTTTGTTTGTTGGCACGTTGTTGGTGACACAACAACATGCGTCGGAACATTGGCGAGATTTGCTTTGCACCTTGCCGTCGGTGCGTGCAACAAAAACACACAAATAACACGAGTGAAACGGAACGAAATGGCACTCATTGACAAAAATGTAGAACAACGCCGTTAAGAGTATTAAAGAAAAAGGAGCAAAGGCGACGTAGCAGCAGAAAAAATTGTATGGAAAATAAGACGACACAAACGCAGAAAGAGAGCAACGCAGGAGAAACGCACGTATCACACAAATGCTGGACTTCACATGTGTTATATATGTATATATCTGCATGTCGCCTCCAGCCATTGATAGCGTTGGGTAATCGATTATATACCGAAACGCGTCCTACGACACCGCGGAGCAAGGCAAGGTGCAAACAGTATACGCCAATATTTATAGACGGTGGAAGCGCAAATACATACAAAAAAATATTATCCCCAGTGTGTGTGTGTGTGTTGTGTTATGGCCAGCACTTCCGGTCTACTTTTTCGCAACATTCGCAAACACAGCATACAATTGCCGCCTTGGGGGCAAACGCCCTTTCGCGTGAGTATTTCAATTTGTGTCGTTCGTTTTTTAACGCCTTCCTCCAGTCGTGGGAGTGCGTGGCAAGCAAATCCATAAAATAAATATCAAATAAGCTTAAGCGCCCTTTTTATACTCTCGTTGTATTTGGGTTGTAAGTCGTGGATATATTATCGCTTTTGTTAATAAAGTTTAGGCTTTTGTTGCTTTCATGGGAACTTTTTATTAGTGCACGAAGTAGTGCGAATTACTCATTGTCTTAGAAAATAAAATAATTACTTTGATGACTTTTCTCTTCCGCTTACAAAAAGGTCTCTAACAACAATTGTGTGGCGTTTCAAGTGATTTTTACAAGATTATATTATCATACTCAGCTCAACCGCAGCTATGGCCTCTGTTTTAACTGTAACTATAACTGTAACAGTGAAAACTCTTTTCACCCTTACTACTACTTTTCACAACTCATTTTATTAAAGTTAAGTTAGGTGGGAGAATTATGTACTAAAATGTGACCATAAAGTAAAAGAAATAAATGTGACTAATTACAAATCTCTCCTCAAAAGTAAATAAAACGGGGGAGTAACAGAGCGAGAAACCATTCCGAAGACAATCAGGACTATATAACCGGAAATGACTCAAACTTACAACCAACAAATGACGGACAACTCGACATCATTCTAAAATTATTTGAGGATTGTTTTCGGACACTTAAAGAACAAATAGCAGAGTAACTAATGAAATTTATAATCATTAACGAGAGTTCCGTAAGTTTATTTTATACATTTCTTCCGTCGTTTAGAGCGCGCTGCCGATTTTTTTAAACTGAAACCGAGAGCACGTTTCGGATCTCGTATTTTTCAGGCATTGACCTCACGATGTCAAAATAGCTTGAACTGCAGCCTGTAAAAACATTAAATATTCAAAAAAAAAGGATCAAAGGAACACTGATGCATAACAAATTCTAGATTTCTTCTTGAAACTCGAGAGAGAAACTTGAGCTGTCCAAAAGTTGTAAGAGAACCCACAAGGGAATCCAAACAATAAATATAATGGAACCATAACTGATAATTTTTACAATATATTATTATTATTTCCGAGAGCGTAATATTGGTATAATTGAAGTTTCCCTCACAAACACTTTCTTTCAATCGTGCGTTGCCGAAAAAGCTTCTTCAAATTGTTTCAAAACAAAACTAACGACAAAATAAAGTAGAAGAACCACAATACTACGAATAGCCTGTTATAACCTCAAATGATGTGTTTTACTTTTTAATATCAGTTGTAACAGAACATACATTCATAAGTTATCTTCTTCAAATACTTAAGAGTCATATCCGAAAGAATCCACATTTCACCTCATACTTCAGTTCTTCTAAATATTTACTCACCTTGATCAGCTTCTCGCGTATCTCCCAACTGAATATACCCGGATTGGCTTTGCGTAGCTCCTCGATGCGCGCTTCGATTTCCGGCGATGTAACTTTCGGTTTAGAACCGCCTATCACACCCGGTCGTATTGAACCGGTTTCCTGGTAACGATTTAATATTTTCGATACACAGCCATGCGAAACGCGTAGCTGACGTGAGATCACACATGGTCTTATACCGTTAGCGGCCATTTCGACAATTTTCAAACGTATATGATTCGGTAGCGGTCGGCCGTTGATGAATACACCGCCGAGTTGATTGACACGACCCTGACCTGTAATGGAGTAGGAGTTGGGTTAGTATGTATATAATTTGTAGCTTAGAACTTTAAAAGTAAAAACTCATTTTAAGTAGTTAATACGAATAGAGCAGAGATATTTGTCGGAAAGCTTCTGAAGAATTCTTAAAACAGCCACATGGCATTAGAAAGTGTGTCAATCTGTAAAAAATTTGCTTTACATTTCAGCTACGTATTTCTGCGTAGAAAGTTTTCTACAGTGTAATTTTTCCTAGATATTTGCTGGAGTTCCAAGGTATGGTGAGTTTGGTACCAGATAGTGCGTCCCATCCTAACCTTATATAATTAAAGTTTATCTTGTTTAAATCTTCCGTGTTTGAAGCAGCCCTTTCTATGATTATCTCAAGTACAAGAATTCGATTACTCCAAAATAAAGTTTATCCTCTCAGATTACTTAAGCAATTTTTGAAAAACTAACTCTTGGTAAGGTTAGGTTGAAGGTTGTTTCAAAATCGATGGATCTCACTTGGACTAGTATTCGTCCTTTGTGTTAACCATAAGCCCCTAAAACTAGATCACCAGATCTTTATAGATCGACGTGGCGTATGCGAAGAAATTGTAGGTCTATTAAGGTCAGAAGAAGTATTTTTGAGATAGGCTGGACTTTAACTTGGACTGGACTGGACTGGACTTTTTTAAGAGAAAGATTATCTTAATGCGATTAGGTCCATTTTCGTCAGGGGATAACTCCAATTGTGTATAAAGCTTGAGTTAGTGCTTTAATATTACTTTTAGAGTTATTTCTAGTATACTGTTGCTTTGCTTTCAAATGCTCCAATCCGAGATCTAGTCACTAGTGCTTAGCAGAAAAATTAGGAATTTTCTAGAAAGATTTTCGAATGAGTGTCCAGACTGAGTTGTAAAACCAGCCGTGACTACAATCGAAGGCTGGAGCCTCTGATTTATAATGTAATAAGGTTTTTTCGCGCTCTCTCACTCGGCTGGAATCCGGACTAGCTAATTTTGGTAGTCTTCTATAACAGAATTTCATATGTTTTTAATACCTTTTGTCTGTTCAATTATTTTCATGACATTTACTCGATGGTGCTAGCAGGGTTAGATAGAAAATTATCTAGTTATAAATATTTTTCTTTGCCTACAATGAGGCAATTGAAATTCGAGGGATTTTTTGTATGAAGAAACTAACAAATAAATATTAATTAATTAATTACCTTGGAATGGGTATCCGGAGAAGAAGGGCCGCATATTTAACGAATTTGCGCTGGTCATATCCATTTTTGTCAAAGTATGTAGTACCAAAGTTCTTATAGGAACTTAATATAATATAAAGTTATGAATGAATATGAAAAGGTATAGACTGAAGTAGCTTAAACTGGAATAAATAACAATAATATATTTCTTCTAAAATCAACACTTTGGTTTTTGCTCTAAATTGCACTGGGTTTATTGCTTGATATTCAAACTAAATAATACGCACTAGAAGTAGTCACCGTTTGTTGATCTTTTTTCATTCTAATATTTATTTTCAAACACACAGAAATATCAGTTAAAAATCAATTATTTTGCAAAACATTTTGGCGCCTTAATTCACTAGTTGAACCGCGCCGATAACCGTTAGTTAATGGAGTGGGGCGAAAGGAGTTCAAAAGGTTCCAAAACTGTGCGCCACCTGCCCTTTAAAGTAATACAATAATATTCGATGAAGTCGCACACAAAACACGTACTATTAGAGCCGCGCGCCCGTTTGCACAAATACACAACATCCGACGGAAGTCCAAACAAACGGCGAACTGGTCTTATTCGCCCGCTTTGCGGTCCAATTCATTTGCCGTTGCACAAAAAATACGCCAAATAATGCTATTTACGTTGGGTTGGAGTAACTCGCGTCACAATCAGGGCGATCAGGCCGCGCGACATTCGGTACACAACTAAAAGAGCGCGCGAGCATAAATTAACGAAGTCGCGTCGCGCGCAAAAGTATAAACGCGCGCGCGATCAACCGCCACAGTCCGGAACTGGTTTGCGCGGCGCAGACAAAAAACACTGCGAACAACAACAAAGCGCTACTATTTCCAATACAAATACATATGAAATAAAATGTAGCAAAAAACAACAAATCAGAAGGGCAAACGTACAAGCAAAAAAAGCTATAAAAACAAACGATAGTGTACAACAATAAGAAGAACGCAGCGCTGGCGAATCGCCGCGTCGCGTTTGGATTGTATACAATTTGTGCATTAGTGTGCGCTTGTTGTTGGTTTGCTTGCTGTGGCTGTATATCATGGTGGTGGTGTTTGAGTAACGCTTGGCGCTCACTTATGAATAAGCAACAACAACAACATTTAACCAAACATGCCCATAAAAGCAGGCTTTTGTATGTGTGTGTGAAAGTAGGCGGGCCATTGTTAATGGGTCAATATATTTGTTGTTGCGCGCTTAACAAAACTACCCATACGCGTCAGCGAACGGGTGGCTGTAACTAACCGGTTTAATATCAAAGTCGCGTTCGTTGTGTTAATGAGAGGAAAACTAGCAACAAAAGCGAGAAATTGACGACGGCATTTGTGGTGGTTTGTTGTGTGAGATTGTGTTTGTGTGCGCGCAGCAACAGCAGCTAGCAATGGCAACGATCAAAAGTGAGGCGAGGCCAAATGGTAGTGAGCGCGTCATTGTTAAGCGAGCGCCAGTTGGAGAGCGCATAACACAGCCGCTCATTTGTTGTAGCGAACAGTGTTGTGGTCCCTATTAGAACCTGGTAGACCCTAAACTATCCGCAAACATTTTGTGAACCTTTAAAGCGAATCAATGAGTGTATGCCGTATTCCTTCTTAAAAAAATAAAGAAACATTTTGTGAAAATATATCTTGTCAAGACCTTCTTTCGAATCTGTCAGACCCTAAAACTATCAGCAAACAATTTATTAACCCTTAAAACCTATCTATAATATATGCTTTCGTTGACTAGATTGTCATTAACTTTCTCTCTTTCTTTCTCTCTCTCTCACACATTTAGCTCTTCTTCCCACCACATTTAAAGTAACTCTTCTCTAAAAATTTTTACCTCAATATTTTTCCGTTTATGGAATTAGCTTTTAAAATATTTTAAATGGTTTTCTAAGACAACTTAGTAGAGTGAACCTTGCAGAGTTGGGTTGACATACCATTGAGCAGCTTATTAAGAGACCAATATTTGTTCACTCTATGAAGTGATGTTAGTTTTGTGATTCCGAGGACGTGGCCAAAGTTATGTACCTCCGAAAAATATAATACAATGCCTAAGGTGCTAGAAGATATACTCATAGTTCTCATATGCAAAAGAATCGGAAAATTCAGAGTCAACGCAATTTATTAAATTAGGAATACAAGATCTCTTGCTCCCAGCTTTAAAAATTAAGCTTATTGTGAGAGAAAGTCAAGACATATTCTTATCGCTTTGGTTTCCTGCTTTTGATACAAGCACAACACTGTAGCAAACGCTAAGCGAGAGAGAGCGCAAGCTTACTTAAGCTTTTGATCCACTCATTTGCACCCAATAGACTATTGTATTAGTAGCTGCTGTTGTTGTTTGGCTTGCGCAGTCTTCTCAAGCGTTCTTTTGTAAATAATCAGCGATAGTTTAATGGAGTGCATTGCCTAAAGAGCCACGCCTATTTAGCTCAACAACGAACTTAACTGCAGTTGTGAGCGCAAAAAACAGTCGAGCCACCGATATACAGTCTAAGCGACTTTCGGGTAATACGGGGTACACAATGCGAATTATAGTGACTAGTTTATTTGCTTTCGGCAGCGTTGATTGGCTGCCGATTGGTTATTGTACGCCGTTTGTAGCTGATATCCCCCTTTGCCCGCACGACGCTCTACTGTTGGCTTCGCTTCTTATATTGTTGCAATTTGTGCATCCTTGTTGGTATTTTTATGTGTTGACAATTTATCGACAACAACACAATATATATATATATATATATTATATATATCCTCTACATTTAGGTGTTAAGGGGGGAAGGGGCAATCTTGTAATGTCCTTCTTTCGATCACTTCAATGCGAGTGCTAACGAAGCAGCTGCCGTTTGCTATGTGAGTAATGTCAGCAACTACAACAGAAACAATAACACCACCAACAACAACACCATCAGTGGTGTTGAACTTTTTTCGCAATGGCCGACGCGTTGTTGCTACTCCTGTACATTTCGTTTTGTTTGCGGCCGATGCGTGTGCGTTTTGCCATAAATGTGTGCATGCGTGTGTGTGTGTGGTTTTGAGTTTTTGCTTTCAATTTGACATTCACACAAAGGAATGACATTTGTCGTCACCGTCGTACGTCGTTTGCAGTCAATTAAAGCGTGAAGGCTAGCTGTGCCGCTAGCTCTGTTTGCAACAATGAAGATATACAAACATATATTATATGTAGAGACTTATATACCATATGTACATAGCTGTTGGCTATCGCGTGTGTTACTGTTTGCTTTTGTTTTTCAAATTTTCATGAAGGATTCTTTTAATTTATTTAATGTATATTAAATATTTACTTAAGTGTACTGGTTCTTGCGCCCACCACCTTTTCGAAACCTTTGTTGAGCTTTATGGCGTCGTAATATAATATTTACGTATGTATATAATTTAAAATGTTTTATTTATTTGAAGAATTTTTTCTTTGAACTCGCAGATAGCAGTTATCGATAGCAATAGAAACCTCCTTTGATGTCAACTTTTTTCCAGGAATAATTTACATACCTCTATACAATTAAACATATATTTATATAAAAGCCAAATATAGAATTCTCCAATAGCAATTTCTCGTATTAAAATTAGTCGGTTCTTATTGGGTTCGAAAAGTAGTCGAAAATATAAACGCTTAAGTTTTTAAAGCTCCATCTCTCCGGAATCTCCATCATAATGGTGACTTAAGTGTGCTTAGAATCTATTCAACCAAAAAAATGAGTTTCTGACTTATGTGCTCCTGCCAGCGCTTAGTACTTCAAAATTTCGTAAGCAGCAATTCTCTCTTTCGAAATTCTTCCCGCAAACAATGGATCAATACTGACCATAATCAATTCTGACGAGTTTCTACATATTCGTAATACACAACCTCTCAGCAACTTCGTTGAAAATCTTCAGAAGTATTTTTTATTTCTTTTGATTTTTAGTTGTTTTGCTGAGCTGCTCTTCTCAATTGTGTGTAACTTTTTTTTACGCAAATTTTAACAAGTCTTCAATTGATGCTTTTTTACACCACTCGTTCCTCTGTAGACCCCTAAAACAAGTATAGGTATGTTTTATACATTCGCGGTTTACAGCGGTGTAAACAATTTTTCTATAGTAAAAGTTTACTCTAATTTAAAGAGTTATGTATCTAAGCTCGACTGAAGCTAGTGTTAGATTCAGAATTTCTTTGTGGTGGGGCTTCCTTACAACATATTTTTAAAATTGATGTAACTGGTAAATTTTTCAGAACTTAAATTAAAATCTCTGATTTTGAAGGGAGAGTAGTCGATTCGAAATATCTTAAAAATGCTCTATGATACAATATTACAAAATAAAAACTATTTTTGGATTCCGTGAATTTCCTTCCAGTCATCGGTAACACTTTCTCGCGGTTCGCAGAAACATTCTCATGATATTTTTGATTCTTCTTCACTCTCTACTTAAGCGGAAGTCATAACAAGAAACCTGCCACAGCTAGCAGATTCGAATATTATAAACTAAAAAGCACTTCATATCGGTGGCCAACGCAAAATATGAAGACATTTTTTTCGATATATAAGCAGTTGATAAATAGAGTATAATATTATGGGTTATGGTAAGTCAAATAAACCATATAGCTGCAATATCAACACAAAATTACTGCACTTCCGCTAGAGCTAACTAGAGTAGTATAATCACACAGAAAAATTGATATTTAAGATTTCGATAAGAGTATACTCAAATATTTAGGAATATATGCGTAACGGTTTACTATTTTGTTTAAGTATGTGTATATAAGTGTATACTTATGTGTGAAAATCGCATGCTTCAGTGAGAACGATAATTGAAAAGTGTCATTGAGCAAATTACGGTTAGAAAAGCGTAAACGCTTTAAGCGACATACTGCACTAATAATCACATAGGTACTTATACACACACATATAAACATATCCACAGCAATTTACATATGCACATGCGCACTAGAGGCTATAGGCAAATATGTACCTATTGACACCTATTACAAATGACAAACACACGCACACACACACACTTTCTGAGTTGAGCATACACATTCATAGTTAAGCATACATTTAT